CTCTACATGATACAGGTGGGAGAGACTAAAAATGTACATGGAGGACATCCAAATGAGGCAATCCTAAGTCCACGCTTTTTGTCTCAGTCTCCAGGATCTTCTCTGGATTTTAGTTGCCCAGCTATTGGGGAACCAGATTGATAACACTACGGGCTAGGACATCTCAAACAGCCATCCTACTGCTCCTGAAGTAGGAGACACCTCGCTCAAAGCCTTAGAGGAAGCTGAAGGGGCTGAAGGGAAGAGATGCACTCATTTTGCCACAGGGAAACACTTTTACCTGGAGTTTTTAATTCAGACATTTTCAATAGAGATGACACATGGCAATTAAGTGGAAAGTCTCAAGATGTTTTGAAGGACTGGAATTTTAATGAGCGAACAGCTTTCAAAAGACATAATTTCAGAAAGCAAAATTTGTGTATCAGTTATCTTCATTCTTGACCTCTCTTACGCTAAACCACGAGGTTGGGACACTACCTTGGAAGACGTGAGATGATCCAGGGAAGTCAAAAGCTATAAGCTGAACTTACACAGCTGAAGGAAGGGAGGAGGGGAAAGAGCTGGCTCATTCGAAGCTTATGTCTTTTCTCACACGAAGCCACAGAAAAACATTTCGTTGTCTTAGCTGAAAGCAGCCCGTTCCAAATACAAGCGGGATGTTCCAGGAAGAAGACAGAAACCTGCAGTGACTAGAAGCAATACTGTGCTCTCCGCAGGGGCAGCACAAGGAAAGAAACTGAGAGGCCACAGAAGAGGCACACCACTTTCAGTGCACCCCAAACCACCAAAGGAAATCACTTTCCTTTAGCGGGCTTTTATATACGTACAGACACACACATTGGCAGTTTCACCATTATAGTGGTGCCTGCGCTTGGCTGAGCACTGTACCTTGCCAAAGAACAGTAAGCGGCCTCAATGACAGAATCAATACTAGGATGCTGCTATAAGTGCGAGTCCACGCAGCCATCCCCAGCAGCTGAACCCTCCTAAAGCAGGTGGTCAGGAGCTTTAAGTGTGGGGTAAAATATTTTGAGAATGTCACAGCAGGAGCTGCTCTCTACTTGCTGCCATTGAAAACAGGCAACAGCTCTTCCCCATGGAAAGTAATCAAGAGCTGCCAGGACGCAAAAGATTCTGTAACTACTAATTCCTCAGTATAAACTATGTCACCAATCTATAATTGTCTGCATTAAAGGGGGATTAAGCTACAGAAACTGTCTGAGAACAAGTTCAGGCATGTAAGGCAGTCCAGCTGGACTAAAATTATATTGTACCCAATTCCTTCTGCTACAGTTGTCTGCTTACATTTCCATTTCACATGCACCCAATTTTTAAATGTTTTGTAACCTGGAGCACAGCACAATTATAGTGTGTTCTATAGTTAAAAATACAATATATTTAAAGCCTAGCTTTCATTCAAAATAACCAGGTCAAATATTTGAGTTATTCTGGAGAAGAGATGTGATTGCCTTTTTTTTTTTTTTTAATGCACTAAATAAAAGCTGTCCAAGAAAATATTTTTCAATTGTTTAAGTCTATAATTTTGTTATTTTTAGTAGCATCAGGGGATAGTAATGGACACCAGAGATGCAACAGTCTACAATAGTTCACATGTACTAAAAAGACATCCACTATGCTTTGACTTAGCCACAATGGATTAAGCAGTATAAAAATTTTCTGCTCCCCAGCCACAGGGTACAAATGACCCTGTGTACACACTGCTTAGCAGCAGCCGTAGCTCAGAGATCGCCAGTCTGTTCTGGCATTTTGGCAACAGTACCTCAAGAGCTACTAGACCCATTTCTACGGTGTCTTTTCTGCCTGTAAGGACAGCAGTTCATCAAATGCTTTAGAGTAAGAATGCCATCAAGTTTAAATCCTCGTCTTCTCTCTTCCCTACTACTAAACTTTATCAAAACCCAAATGATCTTCTAAACCAACTGCTTCACCCTTCTCACCACATTCAGTTCAACTGGTCACCACCTACAAATATTAATAACTAGAGTGACATTAAGACCTAGATCACTTAAAACAATTCCTATGTACTGAGACACATAAGAATACAAGATTGTTTTGGTTTTATCACCCAACCTAGGAGAAGAGAAGCAAAGTAATACGACTTCCCACCCGCCACTATTGCTTCCTTAGTAGATGCCTGGATGAGTATTGAACTGACCCAAAGACGTTTCCAGGGAAGGAGGAGGATTGCCTTGAAAGATCAGGTCGCAGGTCTCCTGCCTCCTCCGTGACGTGAGGATTCCCTGCCCTGCCCTCTCAAAAGGAAAGGAGTATCAAGACTAAGCTTGAGATTTATCAGCACATTGGGGAAGTTTTCCTCAGATTTATCTGAATGTGGATTAGCAAAAGGGAAGTCAGGAGCCCCACAGACCGAGACGAGGAGCAACCAAAACATGGACAGCAGGGACCCCTGAGCTCTTCTAAGGAAAAGCACACACACCACAACTCCCCACTCGCAATGGCATAACCACCCTTGTGGCAATCCAACAATGCCAAGATGAACACCAAAGAAGGGTTTATATTCGTAAAAAAGAAAATCCTACTGTTTGTTGTTTTATCCTACCTTTTTTTGACTTCTCACATGTGGAGAAAAAGAGGAAAACTCAGTAAATGTAGCAAGACAGAACATCTATTGAAAATCAGATGGAGTTCTCTGATAGCAGTTGATTAGTTTACTGGACATCGACAAAAACATTGCCTTCAGACAGCTGAGGAAACCAAATTAATTTGTTCACACTTCAGTCAGGATTTCCAAATAAAAGCTAGAGAAGAGATCTTGATATAAGACCAAACAAGAACAGACACTTTTTCTCCACAACAAACAAAAATCTAACAACATATTAGATCTATAATCAGCAGTATTTGATCAGTAATAAGGGATGTGTATTTGCATCTAAAGAATAATATAAACACTGTGCTTTGATTTAAGAGATCAACTAAATTCTTGGGGGGTTGCTGGTGTTTAAGCACGGGCTGCAATAAAAATGCAGGTATTTTAATGGCAGCAGTTAGTTGTAGTGAACCCCTCTACCAGAGCAATCATGTAGAGCCATACTGTAATAAAGAAAAATGGCTTTTGCTTTAACCACACAAGCAAAAGTTTCATGGTGCAGGAGCAGCTAAGGCCACGCATTCCACCTCAATACTCATATCCTGATAGGTAATGCCTAAAAGAGGATATCTGTGTGCCTTTTTTTTTTTTTTTTAACAGCAGTTCTGCAAACACCTGCAAGGTTAAAAATCAAGACCAGGGGCACTAGTGTTACCCATCACGGGGAATGCATCATGTGTGAGTGAATCCTGTTGATTTGAGTCTGTTCTGTTAAATTCTGTATGTCCTGAGGTCTTACCTAAACATACTCTGAGTATTTCTCTGAATAGTACTTACAGTTGAGCACTAATATCAAGTGTTAACAGATATGCTTTCATCCACAGATCCGAGTTTTACTTCAAGTAGCATCCTATCACCTTTGCTAGAAAGTAAAAATTAAACACTTACACAAAGTCAGAGTAAAAGTAATTAAAAAACCCCTATTAGCTAAAACATGTCTTTAGACTCCCAATCAAGTACATCCACTTCTGGGCAGTATAGGTGGTTCACTTGATATAAAGAATTTAAACAGCCCACCCACAGGGATAAAAATGTGCATTTAAAAGGCAATTTTAATTTTGTTAAAAGCCAATATTCTGTCTGTTCTCCAAGACCAATAAAACACTTGCACAGAAATGTTAGATACATTTTCCTTGCTGTGCTCGAAAATTTCAGATCTGATGTAAAAATCGATATCACCACTAGATAATTCCTACCTCACCTTGGCTCCCCTCACTCATACATACAGAAATGCTCTACATCTCACACAATATAGAAAGAGGTCTTACAGCAGATTTCTGTAGTATTTTCAGAGATAAACTTATAAATTTTTCATGCAAAACATCATCTTTAGAGTACTAGTTAAACCATGATACAGCTACAAATTCTTCTACGCATATGAAAAAAACTGAGGACCTCCGAAGTGATCTGACTACCTTACGAAAAATGACCTTAAAATGACCTTTTTCACCAGAACGCTACATCAAAAAACTCTAGGGTTGGCAACAATAAAACTTTTTTCCCCACACACAATGGAAACCATCATTATCTGACACATTTCAATTAAATATCACACCTACCAGGCTAATAAAAATTCAGCTTTCTAAACAAAAGCTAAAAAAGGAATGTAAAGAAATATTACATGTAAATTAGTGAAATATACATACATTAAGTCTTCCAAATTAGGAATCCCTTCACAGCCAACTGTGTTGAAATATGGATTTTAAACCCAGCACCACTAGCTACTTCAAATCAAATTAATTCACTTTCTCACAGAATTAAAGAAGCTCCAAGCCCTACGCTGCAGCCTCTCATCCTCAAAGTTGGTATACATTCCAAGCAAAAAAAAAAAAAAAAAAAGAAGAAAAAAATCCTCTTCCTTGTCACAATACAATTTCCATATCAGCTTTAGAGGAATCTAATGACTTTTATGAAACAGGCCTTAACTGAGTGTCAACAAAAATAAAATGCACGCTCTGTGCAAAGTTTCCTCTGCTCTTACATTTACACTAATCCATATTGCTGAAAACCAGTCAAAGCTAGGTTGACACTTAAGAACTTTTGTTTTTCAAGTGTTTTCAGAGAGCCCAATCTGCCCTGGTACCATCTACCCAGAGACCTACAACCGTCCTTGTGTCAGGGAGACCGTGAGTAGGTATTTCGGCACAGGCTCATTCAGCATCAACTGTCTGACCTAAACAATCCCTATTTTTAAAACATTAGCACAAAGGGTTTTCAGAAGGAGTTTCTTATGTAGGTAGACTGAGTCTAGACAAGTTCAGACACGTTCCTGGCCATACCATCACATAACACTGAGGAGCTGCAGACACCTGGAACTCAACCTTACCACAAAAATCACTCCTAACATCCCACTGAGCCCCCTCCCTCAAACCTGCGGCGCTGGATGCGCTTCAGCGTGCAGGCAGCCGGGCTCCGCATTGCATAACATCTGGAGGGGGAAGGGAGCAGGGAGAGCTAAGCATGCCATTTAATGGAGGGTGGATTTTTATCCTAGATGCGATGGCAGCAAAATGCCCTCCCAACTACACTACCTGGGTTTTCCTCCCGAGGAAGAAACATTTTGGTGCCAAAACATCTTTTGGAGAAGTTCACTTTTGGTTTTAGGCCAAAGGCGAAAGCTCAACCTCTCACTCTAAAGCCTCACAACTTCTAATGAAAAAAAAAAACCAACCCCCCAAAAAAATAACTAAAGAGGCACAATGTGTGCTGCCGTTAAAGAATGTCCAGCCAGGACTCTCAGAAAGGGCAAAGTCGGATTTATGTAGCAGAAAGCTAAGAAGTTAGAACAACCCACAAACAGAACTCAATGCATAATTAAAGAGAGGCAGAACTCTAGGAAAGCGTTTAATAAATAACAGGGAAAAAGACAACTCACCAAAGTGTTTAACCTGTATTTCTTGAAGATCAAGGAACAGTCTCAGAAACTTAGGATGCATATGTTCTACCTGAAGCATTTTTGCAATATTGTTAATCAAACCAGCTGACCGTTTCTTGGTACTGTCCCAAGTCTGCCAGAACTTCGAAATCACATTGAGCAATTCCAGGTACACTGGAGAAGTGGACAGACTTTTAAAGGCTATCTGCAAGTATCTATACTGCTCCACAATCAACCACTAATTTTTTTCCCCAAATTGGCTGAACAAGCTGTTTTAAAATAATTCCTCTATTTCAGCAGAACTGCAAATTCACTTTAAATATGTTAAATACAATTACTAATTATACTATTGGAAATATTCTTTCAAAACACATTACATCTCAGATTATTTACTACACTATGCGAAAGGCATACAACAGGGAATTAACTTCAGGTCTGGAGACTACATAATTATTGCCACAGAGCAGCTCGCCACACTTGTGCAAAAAGTTCTAGTGAAAATTATTTATGTCTTTGTTAGTTAACCCATGCATGGACACTGCTAAAACCAACCCAGTCTACCAAGTACGAGCACTTCTCTCCCCCCTGCTGTGAACTGCCTCACCGTTTCCTGCAGATGAACATTAATCCTGATGCAGAAAGAGAGCAAAGGGATCATCACCGCAGAGAAGTGCCATACCTTTAACAAGACGAAAAGAGACGTGGCAGTCTTATCGAGACAAATTATTTGCAGGACAGACTGGTGATAGAAGATTCTGACCCTAATTCTAGGCCACAAAAAAACAAACCTAGCAGGCCACTGCCTAACATCACCTGGGGCAGTGCCGATTGCACAGTTAACTTGCACAGGGCCCCTCACCGTGACAAAGGAAAGGTGTTTCCAGAAAAGGAAAATGTGTCGATTGCAGCTTTTTATAATGACTGAGAGCGTGGTTGGTACATTCAGGCCGATAACCCAAGGGCCATACCAAGAAGAGGTGGGAGAACGGGACAGAAACACAGCGGCAGAACTGCGAACTGCACAAAACCAGGCACAACAAATGATACCGCAGGTCAGGAAAGCAGCGCCCTGGCAAGAACAGAGGAGAAACATGAGCAGCACCTGTCAGCATACCTAACCCAGCTCCCCGCTGTTGAAAGGTTAAACTCTCACAGGCTTTAAGCCCACTCCAGGAGTAATCACACTACAGCCTGCGCTAATTTTCATATACTCTTGTATACATTACACCAACTTAACAGATTTCCTTTTTACACTCCCCCATCCATCTACAAGGCTTATCAACTAATACTTAAAAAATCAAAACAAAACAAAAAAACCCCAGAAAACTTATGTTTTCAGAACCAAACTAGCCACTGAAGTTGTGAAATTAAAGCTATTTTCATCACTTAGGACTTTCTTCAACTGTAATTAAGACTTTTTTTAAAAAAGCCATTAGTTATAAGACTGTATTTGAGATACTGTTACTTCAAAAAGAAATTACATACCCCTGAAAAAGAAAGAGCTCCTCCAACACAAACCAGGAATACTGTGGTTATACATAGTATCTTCACGAGTAACTTTCAGGTTCAGTTCTGCTAAGCTTTCCGCTCTCCCGAGGAACATCACAGGAAAAAACAACAGCGTTACACTGCAGCGTCGGTAGTTTTATTCATATTATCAACACACGAATAAAGTGGGAAAGCATCTTCTGCTGTGAACCACTTCTCCAAAGCAAACTCCTGAACTCCTCGAGAGAGACCTCCTTTCGCATTGGATCAGCTTACAAAACACATGGTATTATTTGCTATTCCCTTACTCCCTCTGCAGATGCCGATTTGCAAATATAATTCAGTATAGAGCTGCAGAAGGAGGGCAAGATGAAAGGAAAAAGGTGACAAAGTTGTCTTATTACTGTTTATTAGTTCAACAATTCCAGCCAAGTTTCTTCCCCAACTGTTGATATCAAGACCTACGCTTGGATTTCAAGTTTCAAACCTGAGCTTTCTGGATTTGATGTTATACCACTAAGAAAAAATAGTAACTACAGCTTAGCTAAGCAATCTCCGTTAACAATATCTGAAACAGAAGACACTCTGCTCTCCCGCATCTGTCGCGGCGAAGAGATGCAAACCCAGCAAGAGGGTCCCGTTGTGGTTAGGGCCCGACGCACCGGCACGGCTGTTAGAGATGGTTTAAAAGATGCAGGCAGAAACGACGAGTCAAACGCCACAATTCAAACAGCAGCAATTTCACAACATTCTTTCGCAGTCGCCGGGCTCGCTGCACCACTAACACTCCTGGGTTCTGTTTTTCACCATTATATTGCATATTTCCCACGTTTTTCTGGAGCTGCAATAACCCGCACCTGCTGGTTTCCGAGGACAGTGACAGAGAGCCTTTACGAAGCCAAAACGGACACCGAAAGCCAGAGTATTCAGAGAGAGAGCCCTAGTTTGCAAGCAGACGCCAAGTTTTCACCGAACACCCAGTAACTTCCACACGGGGACCGCGGTAGCTTTAAGCCTCCCAGGCAGCCTCCCCGCTGCCGCTTCCCTCCTCCTGGACCGGCCTTGGGGCCCGGGGCACCGCAGCCCCCCCCCGGATCCAGCTCGTCCTCCCGCTCCGCGGGGGTCACAGGCCG